ATCCCAAACACACGGACATGGAAAACTTTCATTGTGTGCAATACCAGTGGCACAGGGAGAGGGTAAGATTTACCCACGATCTGACAGCACTGGCTTCACTGCGCGCAACCACGTTTTTCTTCATTATGTATAAATAACGGCTGTGATCAGTTTAAGTTTGGAATACTTATAGTTTTTATTGTGATATTTATATTTAATTGTTTTGTTGCTAACAAAATGAAAATGGAAATTGTAAAATTATCGAGAACACTTAATAGTTTTCTATAAGTGTAAGTTTAATTTACTCATTTAATGATTACAAGTATAAATGTACAAACCTAACCTATAACTTATCGTTTGTTTACAGACATTGTATGTAATGAATAATCATGGTTCGACAGTGTATTCTTAATTACTGCAATAGTTCAACTAAAACTATGCAAGACCGTCAATTTTTTCATTTTCCAAAAAAAGAAGAACGTCGAAAATTGTGGTTGCAAAATAGCAATGTTGCAGCTGAAAATATGAAAAAATATTCAGTTTTATGTGATGTAAGATTTTGTCTGATTATACTTATTTTTAATTGATTTTATACTAAACTAATAAATATTAAATGAAAAATAAATCATTTGTAGAAACATTTTTCCGAAGACTGTTGGAAGATAGTAAATGGAAAGAGACGTTTAAAAAACACTGCAGTACCTACTATTTTTATCCAATCTAGTACTTTAACAGATAAAAAAGGTAAGATATTAAATTTTATTCTGTATACTATTTTGATATCTATATATAATATTGTACTTTGTACATTTTACTTCTTCTTATAAATAGCATTTTATACGTATGTGGAAACTTAAATAGTGGCAACTATTTATTCACAACCTATACAAAAAAGTTAGATGTTTGCATCTATTACTGTCCTTCAAAGTAGTCACCAGCGTTGTGTAGAACCCGTTGCCAGCGATGTGGAAGGCATAGTATACCGTCAGCAGAGCCTGTTCTGTTGATGGTGAAAATGGAGCGGTCTACTGCCATGTCTCATCCAGTGTTACGATACGGTGTAAGRAAGCCTCTCCATCGCGCTCATAGCGCTCCARKTSCGTCTGAKCAACGACGTAACRCATCCATTTCTGCATTTCCGTCAATTCATGCGGRACCCATCGTAGCATTCGCTTCAGAACTGTTCCAGAGATTCGATAGGCAGTAGTAGACTGCTCGATTCGCACCATCAACAGAACTGGCTTTGCTGACGGTATACTACGCCTTCCAAATCGCTGGCAATGAGTTCTATACAACGCTGGCGACTACTTTGGAGGACAGTAACAGGTGCAAACATGTAACTCTTTCATAACGGTTGTGAATAAATAGTTGCCACTWTTTARGTTCCATCCTACGTATATTGTTTCAGGTGTTACATTATCTTTTAATCAAAGTATTTTGAAAAGAAATGTACTGGGAAACGTAAAGAATAATTCTGATTTGTCAAATGTACTTCCTTCTACTACTGCAACTTGTATTCCAGGTAAATAGTAGTCTTATTTCTAATACGTTTCAATTACAATAACAATTTATTTAAAAATTATTTCAATTGTTCGTAGCTCAACAAGAAATTATGTCTAAACAAGATGCAAAAAGCATATCAACAACAAAAATATCGGAAAATGTTTCCACTGCTTGTCCAGTAMTTGAAAAGAATTCAGCTTGCTGTGWGGAATCCAATTCGTCRCCATTAACTCCAGCAAATRATGTTAAAGGTATGRTAATAAATYGCAGTTAAAAACATTTYTAATTTTTAATAAAGGAAAAAATATAAATAAACGYTCATMTTTTTAGATATCTCATTGTCAAATGTAACACTCGAWGAGYATGCCACAATAACACAACCATGTAAGTCATTAATTTTRCCCACAATAGTAAAGTTATTTTAGGAATGTAATATGTAAATATTACAGTATAAATCAGTATTTAGAAGTGTAATATTGTCTAATATAGTATTTTTTTACGTTAATTTTGCAGGTGACACTAATGAAGAATTGTTACACGCTTCATCTGAAAGTATTGAAGATACAAGTAATGGACTCATGTTTAAAGAAATTGACAGTATTTGTGATGAAATTAATTCGAGTGAAAGTCGAGATCACAAGGATTGCGTTAATACAATTAAAAAATTAAAAACTTTGTTAAGTAGAAATCTGAGAACAATTAAGATTATAAAAACACAACATAAAAAATCCCGAAATCAATTTAAAAAGCAGATCAAAGATTTACAACAAAAAGTATGTAGGAGTAACAGCTTACAAAATCGAATTTATTCTATTTTTAATGAAGATCAAGTCAAACTTATTACCGGTCTGTGTAAAAAAACTCCAAAATTTCTAAATACCACGCTAGATCAATCATATAAAATAAAATTTGCTTGTGGTTTATCGGGTTACAAAGAGCTTCGTAAACAAGGCTATCCATTACCATCTCCTAGAACATTAAATAGAGGTATCGAAAATCCTAAATCTTAGCTGATTTATTAATACTGGAAATTAAAAACAAATTGTACGAATGATTGAAATAATTGTAAATATAATATATATAGTAGATAATTGTATTTATTAAAATTGTATAAATTTCTACAAGCTGTTTTGAAATTTCAAAATACTTTAATACCTTTTACCAAATCAAACTTAATTAAATCTTTCTTTTTGAATGTATAATAATTTTGCTGTGTAATCTATTCTATTTTAATATAAATTTTTAATTATCATTAGATATTGTTCATTTTTTGTCTGTATTTGATGCAATTCATTATTTTATAATTTTTTCAAACCAATTCACCACTCTACTGCCTACACTATTCACTATTACTATATACAACTTTTATACTATTAAAAATGTTTGATGCATTCGCGTGCAATCACGTGACTACATAAGTTCCTGTCCCTCAAAAATTCTTTGGCGCGTCCCTCCTACAGGGTCCCTTATTAACTCTTGCAATACGCGCCTGCGTATCAAGGTGATACACTAGCGCATTTTCTTTCTATATGAGAACCACACAAGTTAAGTTCAAAGATAATGTAATGGTCGAAAGATGTTCAATAGTGTACTTGCTGATAATTATTATAAATTTGATATTTTCTTCTTGGTAAAATCCGAAAATGAATATAAATTCTTCAGACAGCTTTTTTCCATCGTCCTGGTTCCCTACATAAATAATTGATGCCAAAACTCGGGAATCAACAAAATGAAAAGTCAAGGAACAAAAATGGTCAAAACAAAGAATGACGCAGATCGTAATACTTTGAACAAATAATTCGAGATACAGGCAAACGAATTCTGGAGAGATGAGTGTAAGTTATGATTCATTATGCTAGAGCGTGAATTTTCCGTTTATAATGTACGCTCAGATGACGTAAAATGCGCAGCAATTGTCCGACATTTAAATACTGTGACTATGAGAATTGTGGTGGATGTAATTGCCACCCCGTCTAACAACGATTTTTATACAGAGTTAAGGCTGGTGATACATGTGAATTAAAAAAATATACTCTATTATTCTCGTCTATACTCGACTATACTCCACTATACTCGTCTATACTCGACTATACTCTATTATA